CATGGCAGTTAAAGTGGCATCAGACTGGGTTAGTTCTGCAGTGCAGATGCAGCCATAGAGGGCCAGTTTGTGTCTCATGTCAAACATCTTTGCATCTTGCGCTCCCCAAATGAAATTTAGTCAAACGAAAGGGGAGAGAAAGCCCTGGGTTCGACGTCTTCCACCTCCCCAAAGAAGTTGGACCTTGTTTGGCACTTACTGGCCTTTTCCTCTAAAATCATAAACAAGCTTCTAAGCCAGCTGGAAAATTAACTGTAAGCACCAGACAAAGGTAGAAGTGTTCTAGCTGAGCTATGGAGGCTTTCTCCTCGCTCTCTCTTTTTAATGGAGTGGATTCAGCATTTATTTTCATGTTGGTTTCCAAGCAGCGGTTAAGTTCCCTACCTTTCCGGGGATAATTTACAACATTAAATACACCCATCGGACCAAGTGCCTCTTTATTTTACCTCGAAAAGGGACAGACATGTAATGCAAGGAAAGCCGTTCCACAATTAAGGTCATGATAAACAGCGTATATTGTGCATTAAATCGAAAGTGTGTTTGGCATGGGAGGCATCGGCCGTAGACCGGGTGCAGATGAGTTTGCCATTACCGGAATTCATTAATGTTTCAAAGAACGGTGCTACTCGCCGCCTGTTAAAAGCCATGTTCTTTTGGCCTGTTTTGGATGAAGGCAGGGGGTGAATAATGGCAAAGACACACCTTTCTTCCCTAAAATCCTGGGGCCTGTTCAGAATCGAAAGAGAGGGACCTCTTGGATCCAAGCAACAGTCGGATGATTCCACTATTTGGTTTTTCACAACCATTGGACACATATCTTGGTATCTGCTGCGATTTGGTTCCAGGATCCCCTGTGGATACCAAAATCCATGGATGCTCAAGTCCCATTATAGGCAATGGCACAGGAAAATGGTGTCCCTTCTACACAGTGGCAAAATCAAGGTTTTGCTTTTAGGAATTTATAATTTTTAAAAAGAGTTCTAGACTTTGGATGCACGAATCCATGGATCAAAAAAAAAAATATCTATGGCTGACTTTATCTGCTCCCTTGTTGCTGCCTGCTAGTAACAGATTTTCAGAAATAGACGGCAGAGTTAGGGTTCATGGGAGCTGCAGTCAAACAACCGCAGTTCCCATGAACAATAGGGAGCCCTACAACTCACTGACAAAAGTTGAAACACCTATGGATGAAAGCCCTTGTGCTTGTTGTTGTGCACACTCAAGTCATTTCCGACTTACGCTGACCCTAAAGTGAACCTATCCTGGGGTTTTCTTGGCACGATTTGTTCAGAGGAGGTTTGCCATGGCCTTCCCCTGAGGCTGAGAGAGTGTGACTTGGTCAAGCTCACCTTGTAGGTTTCATGGCCGAGCCAGGAATCGAACCCTGGTCTCGCAGTCCAACACTCAAACCACTGTGCTACGCTGGCGGATGTTGGTTAAAACTTCCAAAAAGTTAAAATACAATTAAGCTATCAAGAGAAGAAAACACACCCTGTTAAGAAAAAGAAATAAGAATAGTATAGCACATTATAATTTATGAATTAAATGCTATCTATCTATCTATCTATCTATCTATCTATCTATCTATCTATCTATCTATCTATCTGCCTATCTGCCTTGTTCATTTCCAGGCTTCCAGTGATGCTGCCACTCACAAGGAGATATTGGGACATGCTGTGCATTACGGCATCCCAGGATGCAGATGGACTGGCGTCCTAAAAAATCTGGAAGTAAGAGAGAACCCGGTTTTGCTACAGGTTGGTGTGTCAGAGAGCGAGAGTCCAACAAATAAGAGAAGAGCACCCACTTGGGAGTGTGGGGACCCCCCCACTTTCTGTGGGACCCTCATAACCATTGTGGTGGATGGCTCCCATGTCAGTGGGATGGTGAATCCACTCTGGGTTTTAGCCTGAACTCTCCAAGGTATTGCACGCCATTCCCCTAAATAGTTTCGGCACCTTGGATAACTCTTTGGGAGCTGTGAATAAAACCTTGAAGGTCTTTAAGCAGAGGCTGGATGGCCATCTGCCGGGGATGCTTTAATTGGGAGTTCCTGCATGGCCAGAGGGTTGGACTGGATGGCCCTTGTGGTCTCTTCCAACTCTATAATTCTATGATTCTATGAAACCCAAAGGGATTTCCCCAGCCCACTTATATATGGGAGCCACTAGCTGGTGATGGTGTTGCCCCATAACTGGAGTGGGACTGGGGCTCTCAACATTTACTCCACTGCTGTTTATTGCAAATGTTTATTGCAACATTTAGTCCGCAGCTTGCATATTGTGTGGCTGCAGTGGATCGGATAGATCAGAACCCCTTTCTCAAGCTTTATTGCATTATCTGCTGCACACAAACTGCTGCAACCTGGAACTGAAAGTCTGTGCTTCTCTGGCCCACTTTCAACCATTCTCCCAAATCCAAGGCTGCTAAAAATGTCCAGCTAGTCAGAGGACAAGGAAGAAAGCTAAGGCTGGGTGAAGATAAAAAGACTTTGTTAGAAGGAGCTTCTTTGTCAGGGGCTTTGCTAACTGAAGTATGCCTGCATTGTATGGAATTGTATACACACATATATTTCTCGCTCTCTCGCTCTGTGCATTTATGCTTATACATGGATATAAATATGTCATAATCCATGCTTTAAAAACGTCTTTCACTGACTCTCCTAAACAGAATCTTGCAGTGATGTCCCCAAGGGAGGAAGGATGTCGATTTTCCAGGATCGGATGCTCCTTCAAGGTAATGCTGCTGTTTGACATCTCTGAATATTTCATAGGAGGAGGAAATGAACTTTGGAAGAAATTCCATTTTGGGGGTTATTTTTCCATTTATTGTTGCTTTGTCTTTGAGGGGTGGGGGGGTGGATGAAAAGATCTGTTTGCTCTTGCCTTCCTCTGAGGCTGAGAGAGTGGGACTTGCCTCTAAGGTCTCCGAATGGCTGAGTGGGGAATCAAATCCTGGTCTCCAGAGCTGTAGTCCAATACTCAAACCACGTATTATGGGTGGCTTGGTCCTTTTCATCGTGGCCTATGTCTTCCCAACAGGGGACCCCAGAAGACAGAAAAGTGCATGAGGCAGATGCCACTGGGGACCATTTAAAGCTGCTGCTCAAACACGTGAAAGAACTGAAGGCGCAGTTGTGCCCCACAGATGATGGGTTGAACGCTTGGTTGATGGATGCCAAGGTTTTCACCGGCGTCTCTTTCGACGTGGTGCCTGAGAGGTCTCTGAAACCAGATTTCCTTTCTGCGCTGCCTTTATATGAGGAGGAGTCACCCTGGCAAATGCATTCGAGGCGGGCACAGGGGGTCTCCTTGCTGGAAAGCAAGCTGCAGGTGTTTGAAAACATTGCGTCCGTCCTGAGCAAGGAGATGGCCGCCTCTCGCCAGACGTTTGTGGCCCTTCGGGGACAGAGGGGTCTTGACCAGGATATGATCCGCGGCCTCGAATTGAAGGTAAACCTCCAACGGATCCAAATCAAATGATTCAAAGTTATCCCTTGTTAGGTTAGAGTCATTATTCTAGTTATACTTTAGTAACTGGGAAAGGAATTAATTACAGGTAGGAGTGGCAGGTGGCTTCCCTAGGCCTGTGTGCTGTTTTGTCTGTTCTGGAGTTTACTCTAAACATGGACCACAGCACTATGGAAAGCTCTTAAAATCTGGCCTAAAATCTGGAATGGATTCGTTTCCCTACTGACAAGGAACCATCAACTTCAATTGATTATATATAACTGGTTATCTATGAACAGTTACTTCCAAACTTGGGGAACAAAACTCTGTCTCCTCTCTCCAAGATCGCCGATCTTCAGCGCTGCCTCGCTCAGAAAGATGCCGCACTCAGCAAGCTGGAGGAGAGACTCCGCTCTTCCAAGCAAGCGTCCTACGATGGTACCTTTCTCTGGAAGATTACAGATGTCCACCACAAGTCCTACGAAGCTGTATGCGGGAAGATGCCCAGCTTCCAGTCTCCAGGTAAGCAGCCATCTATAGCCTGTTGTTGTTGTTATTGTGTGCCTTCAAGTCATTTCCCAACCCATCACTGGGTTTCTTGGGGCTGAGAGCGTGTGACTCGCCCAAGGTCACCCAGTGGGTTTCCTTGGCTGAGCAGAGAATCAAACCCAGCTCTCTAGAGTCAACGCTCAAACCACTACACAACGCTGGCTTTGCTAACTGAGGTATGCCTGCGTTGTATAGAATTCTGTACACACACATATTTCTCTCTTTCTCACTCTGTACATTTATGCTTATATGTACATATAAATATGTCATAATCCATGCTTTTTCCAACCTGGCTAACAGTGGTTCCCAAACTTTGGTCCTCCAGATGTTTTGGATTTCATCTCCCAGAATTCCTGACCGTTGATGGTGGCTAAGATTTCTGGGAAATGTAAGTCCAAAACACCTGGAGGACTAAAGTTTGGGAACACTGTGTTAGATTATCCCTACAACTCCCATCAATTCCAACCAGTATGGCTAGTGGTTAAGGGATCATGGGAGTTGTGGTCCGAAACATCTGGAGGGACCAAAGTCTCTGTGTACCTTTTGATGTTAACGTATTTTAAAGGCATTGAAGCACATTTAAAATGGTGAACGCAAAATTGAAATAATGATAATTTGATCAAATGAAGACTTATGAAGAGTGTCTTAGGGAGCTGGGTATGTTTAGCCTGGAGAAGAGAAGGTTAAGAGGTGACACGATAGCCATGTTTAAATATTTTGAAAGGGTGCAGTATAAAATAAGGAGCAAGCTTGTTTTCTGCTGCTCCAGAGCCTAGGACACGGAGCAATGGATTCAAGTTACAAGAAAAGAGATTCCGCCTAAACTTTAGGAAGAACTTCCTGATGGTAAGAACTGTTTGACAGTGGAAGATGCTGCTTTGGAGAGTGGTGGGGTTTCCTTCTTTGGAGGTTTTCCAACAGAGACTGGATGGCCATCTATTAGGAGTGCTTGGATTGTGCATTCCTGCATGGCAGAATGGGGTTGGATTGGATGACCCTTGGGGGTCTCTTCCAAGTCTGATTCTATGAGAGTCATCCAAAGGAGCCTGGTGGCTCCATTGTGAGTGGAGCAGAGAATGCACTCTGGGTTTCAGTCTCAACCTTAGCATTTAGATTAAAAACCGGAACAAATTCACTACCTTGCTGGCATTGGACCTACCATAGGCTTCGTCTATCCCTAACTGCTGAGTGGTGTCTTAACTTCAATATCCTCCTTGTTTCCAGCTTTCTACACTTCCAGGTACGGTTACAAACTATGCATGAGGATTTACCTGAATGGAGACGGAAGAGGCAAAGGGTCGCACATCTCTCTCTTTCTTGTGCTGCTCAGAGGGGACTATGATGCTCTACTCCAATGGCCTTTTGCTCATAAGGTAAAAAGGGAAATGTCCTTCTTGCAGCAATTTTATGTTTCTTGCAGCAAAGTGTCCTGTGTCCTGGGACATCTTTGGACCCCTGACAGTCCAACCTTAGAGTGGATAGTCCTCCATTTCCATTGCCCATCCACAGTCAGCAGAGAGGTGGTTGGCATCTTCTGGGTCAGTGGGATGGCACTGCACCTTTTTTTGGCAACGGGGTTCAGCGCCAAATTTTATTTTCCTATCTCACCCTAATTTGAACATATTTAAAAGATTGCTGCTGTATTGTGCTCTCTGAAACTTTTTAAAAAACTGAAACGGATGCCTATCCTGCTCTCAATCACTTTGTTAAAGTTGTGGTTTTCTATGCAGTGGCGCTGTACTTGCTGAACCGAACACCATTTGTGTCTTCATATTTGCACTAAAATGTGCGAGGCAAGGCCGGACAGTTATTTTTCTTCTTCTTTACGTCTGCTTGATTTTTATGAAACAAATTGCATTTATGACCAGTCCCCAGTGATTGGTCATTTAAAGGTTGGACAAAAACCTGGAAGGGTGTTGCCACCCCAAACCCAACTCAAGCTCTCTTGCTGGTGCTGTGTGTCTTCAAGTTGTTTCTGAATTATGGTGACCCTAAGACAAATCTAGCGTGGGGTTTTCTTGGCAAGATTTGTTCAGAGGAGTTGGCCATTGCCTTCCCCTGAGGCTGAGAGTGTGTGACTTGCCCAAGGCCACCCAGTGGGTTTCATGGCCAAGCTGGGAATCGAACCCTGGTCTCCAGAGTTGTAATCTAATGCTCAAACTACTACACCACGCTGCCTCTCCAAGAGTCCCTAATCTCTGGAAAAGGCTTGAAATGGATTGGATTGAGCTTCACATTGTTTTGCTTGCTCAATCTATCCATCTCTCTTTGTTTTTCCATCTGGTGCCCTTGAAATGTGGGAACGGTGCGGTTGTTTTTTCTTTTTTGGCTTATGGAACAAGCACCTGCCGTTGCAAAGTATTTCTTGATCAACATGGTGTGGGATCGACAATGCACAACACAGAACTGGGGTGGGTGGGAATTGCACTATATCTCCCAGAATCTTCTAGCCATCACGGCCAACCGCTGGGAGCTGCAACAGCAATAATAATGATAATGCATTTTATTTCTTTCCTGCCTCTCTTCAGGGCTTGAGGTGGGGTACAACATGTTAAAATGCAAAATGCAACTAAAAAGCACATCAAACCAACAGTTACAAGGCAGGACTGTAAAACTGTTCAAATGCATTCATATAATATATTCTTTAAAATATACCAATTAAAAAAATAATCATGTTTTCCAATGGACTATGTAGGCCTGCCAGAAGAGATGTGTCTTTAGTGCTATTTTAAAAGCTGTTGGCCTTTTCAGATCTCCTCCGGCGGGTCATTCCACCTCCCCAAGCATTTAATTTTTTGGGAAGCTCCATTTTCATGTGATGAAACCTGACCTTTTCTGCTTGCCATCCCTTCTTGCTGTTTTTCTCAGGTCACGTTGATGCTCCTCAGTCAAAACAACACTGAACATCTTGTGAACACGCTCCAGCCAGATCCAACATCGCCTTCCTTCCAGAGGCCTGTGGCGGATACGAACGAAGCCAGCGGCTTCCCAAAGTTCATTTCTTTGGCTAGGTTGCAGTCGCCAAAATACGCGTATATAAAAGAAGGCACCATTTTCCTCCGGTGCATCACCCAAGCCTGTCCATGAGTGGTTTGCAAGAAAGTGAAAACATCAGAACCATCTCAAGCTTGGTCATGAATCACCATCAAGACCCATTCGCTTTACAAAAGCCCTGATATGAGTTGAGATGAAAAGAGCAGTTGGCGGATACGGATCGAAAGAATTGGCAGATCTCCATGGGAGCATGGCTATAGAGGGACTCTCATGACCAGTGCATGCACTTCCAAAAATGAACGTTCCAGAATTGAGAGTGTAGCATATGAGCAAGAGGGCTGGTTTTCAGCCCCAACAGGGTAGATTTGCCCCTGCAAAAGGGTTGATTTGCCCACTGCAGTCATTACTCACATTGAAAGGGTACAGCTACCCATAGGAAACCATCTGCTTCCGGGCGAACCTTGTGCTTCCAGCTTCTTGCCTGTAGTCTCTGTCTGTGTGTCACGAGTTTCTAGTGCAGCATGTGAAGGAAAGTTGTCGTTCTTGTTTTAATGTTTGGCTTAAAGGTTCCTTCCACGGCAAAGGAGAGTAAAGTGCTTATACCGCAAGGTGACAAAAGTGCCACTTTTTGTGCGCGTGCCATTCTTGCAAATGTTGTTAAATGCACGGTTGCAAAGCTGCATTTTTGTTGAAATCTCGTTCCAGGATTGAGAAAGTGCAGCCCATGGGCCACATGTGCCCCCAGCTTCTTTTGGGGGTCCCCAAGTCCCCTGATACCCGCAAGCCTTAGATCCCATAAACATTGTATCTCTGTGTAAAAAAAATGCCCTAAAGTTTGCCAAAAGTTTGTCTTTTGCAACCCAGCCCCATCTATTCCCAAACTGTGGGGTCAGCCATAACCCAACCAGTTTCCTGCCTTTTTCTCTAGATTTTTAATGGAATAATTTGGAGAGGTTTGAGAGGCTCCGGTGTCGCTCTTGGGGATTTGTGGGGTCTGCAAAGAAAGTTTTGGAAAAGCAAAACAGACCAAAATGAAAACCGAGAATGGATAGCGCTTTGGTCAAATAAATACAGCGTGAATCTCCCTTATCCAAAATGCTTGGGACCAGAAATGTTTGGGATTTCCCCCCCAGATTTTGGAATATTTGCATCTGTTTAATGGGATCTCTCGGAGATGGGGCTCAAGTCTAAAACATGAAATTAATTTATGTTTTGGATACACTTTATACAGAATCAGCATGGAGTATGGGATTCAGCATAGGATTAGGATTCTGGTGATCAGACTTTGAATCCATTTGTGGCTGTGGAAACCAGCTGGGTAACCTTGGATGGGTCACACTCTCTCAGCCCCAGAAAACCCTATGATAGGCTCACCTTGTTGCTGTGTGCCTTCAAGTCATTTCCAACTTATGGTAACCCTAACCCATTAGGTGACCTTGAGCAAGTCACGCTCTCTCAGCCTCAGGAAAAGGCAATGGCAAACTTCCTCTGAACAAACCTTGCCAGGAAAATCCCATTACAGGGTTGTTGTAAGTCTGAAATGACCGAAGGCACACAACAACAACAACAACAAAGGCAAAACTATCATGTGTTTTTCTTGGCAAGATTTGTGGGTGTCATGGCCGAGCTGGGATTCGAACCCTGCTCTCCGGAGTCATAGTCCAACACTCCTCCAACCGTTATGCCACGCCAGCTCAGAGGTTCACCTTAGGGTTGGCATAAGTTGGACATGACTTGAAGACATACAAATAATAATAATAATAATAATAATACACCTTATACACATAGCCTGATGGTAAATTGTATACATAATCTTAATAATTCTGTGCATGAAACAAAGTTTGTGTACAGTGAACCATCAGAAAGCACAAGGGTCACTATCTCAGCCACGTACATGGACCTTTTGGGATTTGGGAGTATTTTGAATTTTGGAATTCTGGATAAGGGAAACGCGATCTGTGCAAGAAAGGATCTGTCGAAATGTCATGCCTCCTTTCCGCAAAGGCGCCCTTGGCAGCAGCTAGTGGAACATCGTGGTTCAATGGCTCTGGATCTAAGAGGAACCCTCCCTTTGGGACTGGGTTAAACCCCTTGGCTCTTGAAAAGGAAGCCATCATTCCTCCACTTTTGAAAGCTTGGCTGAGTTGGGAAGGTTCATGCCAGGCCCATCTGGAATGCATTGTGTGACGATACATTTCCAACACCCACTTGGCAAAAATTAAATTTCTCGGACTCTCACGTCCAGAATTTGGGTAGAGGCAAGGCCAGAGAGCACAGATTCGGCAGCCATGAAGAACAGCGGATAGATGTAGGTAGGTGGCTCGAGAAAGTAAGCCTAGGCTCAACCCCACCACTTCATCCTTGCAACGACACCCATCTTGCTTCCGATAAGGGAGAAGATAATTTTCGTTCCCTATCATCCTCTCCCCTGGATCCCTTGTAGGCTGGAAACTGCAGATAATCTGCTCCTAACCATGGAGGGTCAAGCTCTCTTCCTATTCTTTACAATGACACCCATCTTGCATTCAGTAAGAAGGAAGAAGATAATTCTCATTCTTTGCCTTGCAAAACTTGTCCATAGCAGGCTAGAATCTGCAGATAAACTGCTCCTACCTTAGAGTCTCAACCTCACAGCCTGGTCCTTGCAAAGCTGCCCATCTCATCACTTGCTTCCAATAATTCCCATTGCTTGCCTTCTGCTGCCTTGCCAACCTTGTCCTTAGTAGACTGCAGATAAACTGCTCCTAACCCTGGAGGCTCAATTCCCCTTTCTGATCCTTACAAGGACACCCATCTTGCATTCAACAAGAAGAAAGAGGATCATTCTCATTCCCTGCCTTGCAAACCTTGTCCCGAGCAGGCTGGACCCTGCAGATAAACTGCTCCTAACCCTGGAGGCTCAATCCCTCTTCCTGATCCTTACAAGGGCACCCATCTTGCATTCAATAAGAAGGAAGAGGATCATTCTCATTCCCTGCCTTGCAAACCTTGTCCCTAGCAGGTTGGTCCTTGCAGATAAACTGCTCCTAACCCTGGAGGCTCAATCCCTCTTCCTGATCCTTGCAAGGGCTTCCAATCTTGCTTCCAAGAAGAAGGAAGAGGTTCATTCTCATTCCCTGCCTTGCAAACCTTGTCCCTAGAAGACTGGACCTTGCAGATAAACTGCTCCTAACTCTGGAGTCTCAATCCCTCTTCCTGATCCTTACAAGGACACCCATCTTGCATTCAATTAGAAGGAAGAGGATCACTCTCACTCCCTCCCTGCCTTGCAAACCTTGTTCCCTAATGGGTTGGACCCTGCAGATAAACTGCTCCTCACCCTGGAGGCTCAATCCCTCTTCCTGATCCTTACAAGGATGCCCAGCTCCTCTCTTGCTTCCCATCCCTGCCTTTTCCCCCAAATTTTCCCAGAGTTTGGGGAAGGCCATCCTTCCAGGGGCAAAAAGCAAGCCAGCAAGCGATCTGGAGAAGAAGAAGAGGAGGAGGCTCCATTGGGGAAGGCGGAGTTGGGGGCGGCCAGGCTCATTGCATAAGCAAGACGTCAATAATTCGCGGGAAAATAGACTTGCAAAGGCGGAAAGATGGCGCCTGGATCCCTCCTTGAGCATCTTTGGTTCCTTGCACCCTCTTAAGGGTGTTTGGGGGGGGGCAGGATCTTTTATAAAGAGGGACATCAACTATGAGAGACTATTAGCCCTCTCCCTGGAGGAGAGAGAGAGAGAGAGAGAGATCCAAGGGAAGACACTGCCGCAGGATTCGAACTCAGGATCCTTCGTTTCATTAGGGCATTCGCTCCTTTCTTTGCACATCCATGCCACACAAGACTGGAGAGGGCTTCCTGCGAATGAATGGAGGAGGAATCTCTTGAATAAATAGGTAAGGAGCGGTTGTAGGGAATAATGATAAATGATGATGATGAAATATTAATTATTATTTGCTTTAGGGGGGTATCCAGGGAAAGTCTCCAAAGAGGTTTGCAAAGCAACAGACCCGGGTCGGGGTCCCCTCCTTCCTTCAGCCCGACTTTGGCAAGTGAAACATTCTTGTTCACTCCTTTTTAAAATTCATTCATTTATCTATTGATCAATCCCTTCATTGATTACACTTATTTTCCCTTTCCTCCCCCCAAAAAACCCAAAATGGGACCCAAAGCTTTAAACAACTCCCCCCCCCCTTAAAATGAGTCCAAAAGTTCTCTCTCTGGATTTATTTATTCTAAATTCTAGCCATTTCGGTTTGGGAGCTCAGCAAAGGGAGAGATCTTGGAGAACCTGATTTCTTTTCAAAGCATGCTGGCTATTTGCCATAATAAATGACATATCTATATCTATCTATCTATCTATCTATCTATCTATCTATCTATCTATCTATCTATCTATCTATCTATCTATCTATCTATCTATCTATCTATCTATCTATCTATCTATCTATCGATATATATTTCTTTTATTATGGCAAATAGCCAGCATGCTTTGAAAAGAAATCAAGTTCTCCAAGATCTATCTATCTATCTATCTATCTATCTATCTATCTATCTATCTATCTATAGATGTATATATATATATATGCACTGTATTTGAAAAGCACTCTTGGATTTGTCTTGCCAAGGGATCTGGTCGATTTTCTGTCCTTAACAAAACGGATCGAGGCCACCAGATTACTTTTCTGGGGGTTTTGGGGGTTGTTGGATTTGGAAACCTGCAATCCTTTGGAGGTTTACTTTGGTGTAAGTTTGCTCCTTCCTCTTTTGAATTGGCTGGATAGATCTCCTCCCTGGGCGTTTTGCTAGATCTCAGGATCGCAACCTTCCTGCATGTAGGACAGGATCCCATCAGGATCAATTTACTCCTGAGTAAGCAAGCTGCAGATTGCAAGGGGGAATCTGGCCTGTGTGTCCCTTTCTTCCACCTTCTTCTTTCTTTCTTTCTTTCCCTTCTTGGCCTCTTTGCAAGGATTGTCACTGATTCCTGCAAACTGCAAAGGTTTCCTACTTTGCAAGGAAACCGACCTGTTTTGGATCCAAGGGAGGTTTACTCGTGAGTAAACCAGGAGGGTGGCAAAGGCAGGAGAGCCACCTCCCCAAAGGAACCTGCTGCTTTTCAAAAATGAAAGTGACAGTTTCTGAGGCTCAAGAGAGATTGGTCAGGCAAAAGTTTGCAAAAGGCTGGAGGGAAGGACAAAAGAGTTCCTCTCTAAAGAAAGAGCATTGCTGCTGACAGTTATTCCTGGCTACTCCCAACCTTGGAAAGATCCCATTTTGCAGGGATGATCAGAATGACAGGCAGGCAGGCATCGAAATGCCCTTTTTAATTTGCTTTTTTTTTTTTTAAATTGCAAATAAAACTTTGTTTCTCTCTGGGCTGTTACTTTGTAGTTCCACCGCATCCTCTTCCTTTGGCTGGAAAGAGGTTTCCTCCTTTCGATCTGACTGTTAGGAGGCAGCTTTTGGGGCTTGTGAACACTCCACCCTTCTCCAACTAGACCTTGAATTATATATATAATCAAAAAATTGCATGAGGATTACTTTTTGAATCTGCCAATCATAACAGAGGTAGGTGACTGGCTCTTAAGTCAGTGATATGCTGGAGATATGATGATGATGATGATGATGATGATGATAGGTGGGTGCCATCTTATCTGAGGATACTGCACTGGTTTCTAGATTTTTGGATAGTTCCCGAAATGCAGATGTGTCAAAACTCGGTGACATGGAACTGATGAAGTTCAAGGTCTTGCATCGCAATCGATGGACCATAGCTTTATGAGTCTGTAACTAAGTTGCAGAAATGCAATGGAAGCCAGTTAGTGAATCGTGAAGATGCACATCTGGGCACTGACAGGTGTGCTGCAATGCTCATTGGGTGCTTCTGATGCACATTGGGCTTGTCTGATACGCTTTGGGCACTTGGGATGCACTTCAGGCGTTTCAGATGCACATCGGTCACTTCTGATGTGCATTGGGAACTTCTGATGCATGCCAGGCATTTCTGATGCACTTTGGGCACCTGATGCACATTGGGCACCTCTGATGTGCTTTGGCTGCTTCTGATGCATGTCAGGCACTTCTGATGTGCTTTGGGTACTTTTGATGTACATCAGGTACTTCTGATGCATGTCAGGCACTTCTAATATGCTTTGGGCACATCTGATGCATTTCGGGCATTTCTGATGCATGTCAGGAACTTCTGATATGCTTTGGTCATTTCTGATACATGTCAAGCATTTCTGATGCACTTTGGGCACCTGATGCACATTGGGCACTTCTGATGCGCTTTGGCCACTTCTGATGCATGTTAGGCATTTTTGATGCATGTCAGGCACTTCTGATGCACTTTTGGCACTCCTCTTTGCTCCAGCATTTCCTAGTCAGTGTCCAGATACTCATTGGGGTGTGTATCCCAATGTGCATTGGTACCTATTGTGCAACTGTCACTCCACTGTTGCACAATGAATACCTGTACATTGCAGTGTTGCATGTGCATGTGGACGTCACAAACTACCCAATTCAGTTCCGCGCATTGTCGTGTTAATCCGGACTTTCAGTATGCAAGGGGATCTTGTAGCACTTTTGAGATAACTGCCTAGAAGATGTTGTAGCATAAGCTTTGCCAGACTTGGTCTACTCCCTCAGATGCATTTCACTCTATGCTTATGCTTAGTCTTTGAAAGCTTATGCTACAACTTCTTCTACACCG